CGCCACCACTTCAAAAACAAATCAAAACATGCTTATAAAACAGTACGGGCATTACCATAAATTTACTTACCTCACTTGCATAAAACCGAGCACTCAATTCACGTACTAACTGACAGAACGATCGGAAACCTAATCAAAACACCTCAAAATAAATACCGGACTATCACAAATCATTCCTAATCACAATGCTATTTCTATCACTTTCCACATGATCGGACATCTCTAAATTCGTTCTTATATCACAAACTAATCATTTAAATCCCTGTTAATTGTTGGCCCTCGGGGTGTGAACAGTACCCGTGAACAGTACCCCGATGTGAACAGTAACTCCGACTTCCACAAATTGGCCAAAACACTAGCTAATCTCATGGGATTTTCTCTCCAAAAATCACAACAAGCAATTAACACTCAATCACATAAATCCCACTTGAATTAGTGCTTAATCATGGTCCTAAAGCTACTAGAATTATCCCCAATTTTCTGTCAAATTCGGACATCACAAGCAGCAACTTTAAATGGATAATTTAAGCCTTAAAAGGCTGTCACATACCAGAATTTACAAGCTGCAGAACCGGGGTGCAGATTGGGGAGGAGGCCGGCGGCAAGTGCAGGGGAGAAACTCACGGATCTACCCAAAATTAAAGGAGATAAGAGCAATCAAAGTTAACCCAAGTTAATTCAAGCAAGAACAGAGGGATTGGTAGCTGTTTCTTACCCAAAACCGGAGCAAATCACACCCCACAAGCAAGAGCAGCCGGCGGACAGGGGAGGAAGGACAGCGCAGATCCGGAAGCTTCCTGCAGGGGGAGAGATTTCTGGGTTCCAAATCAGGTTCTTGGACAAGAAAAGAAGGGAAAAATCAAGCTCTCTACCGATTTCCTCAAGCATGGCTGTCGGGTTCCCTTTCTTTTTCTTTCGAGTGGCTGCAGCGGGAAGAAAGAAAAAGAAGAGCAGAATCGGGCAAGGCTGGGGAAGAAAAGAAAGAAAGAAAAAGAAAAAGAAAAGAAGTCATCCTTATCCAAAATCTTTCCCTCTTTAAGTCCCTCAAGTTTGGACATTTTGGCTATTAAACCCAAAACAATATCTTTCTCACACAAAAACTCTTACTTAAATGCTAAAATAGCACAAAATTTTGGGGTATTACAATTTGATTGACATAGTTGGCTACAAAGTTATCCAACCACAAAGCACCATGTTCTTTATGCTCCTTGCTCTCCTCAGCCTTATTTCCAACTAAAAA